ACTAGATACTATGTATTCTAGTGGTGAGTAGTAGGTGTAGTGGTGAGATGACTAGATGCTATGTATTCTAGTGGTGAGTAGTAGGTGTAGTGGTGTACTGGGTGCTGACTTTCAGATGAGTTCAGCCGGATTCGATGTGAACATCAGGTAAGACTCTAGAGAGATGGAATTAAGGTCTTGGGTTCTGAGGGAGAGGCAGAAACAAACCATAAAACAAGAACAGGACATTTTGAAAGAGAGAGATTGGATGAACTAAACAGATCACAAATTAATAACAAACATCAATATTTACTGCCTTAATCTGAGTGTCACAGAAGTACAATCTTATTTCCAGTGAATGGAGTAATTTTAGAAAAGTACTTGTTCCATTAACAAAGATATTACCTAACAAAGGTCCAAACCTTCCGATTCAACATCGGGGTGAAAATAAAGCTATAGGGTTTAAGTCTGATTTGATCCTCTAGTTAGCCCATTTTAGGAGCCATCTTGGGCCTATCGGGTTTGAACTGGCTTCTTGTGGCTTCTTCGTTTTGGAGTACTGTCAGGATAGGCCTCTGACTTTCCTAAAAGCTGGCCCTGGCTTCCTCTTTACTGACCTCCAGGCATCCGCTTAGAACCTAACCAACTGCCTACTCTAACAGCTGCAGAGCACTGTGAATGCACTAAATGCCACTGACTTACTCCCTTTAAAACTGTGATTTTAATGTTTCACTTCAAAACCAAAATTTGTGGAAGACAAAGGTTTGGTATCTACATGAAAGTACTTGGTTAGCTACACACAAAAACACGGCATTCTATGCTCCAGCCATCTAACAAATGAACGCAACTTCTCACAAAGAGAATAGCAAGAGAGCAAGCACAAAACAACAGAAATTAAACATCACCAGGAAAATAGTGAGTTATGCAAGAATGATGCTACCTTCACATATTTTAGCATACCACAAAAATGATTTTTCTCTGAACGTGAAATTTGGAAAAAAATCTAATAATTGCTCTTTTAACAACTCTTCTCGTTCCACAACTCCAAACCATCTAACTTTATGCTAATTTTTAATTTGAGATGTAAACACATAAAACTCAGATGTCACAGGAGTACGTTACAGAAATAAAAGGTGAGCATCTTACCTCTGAATTCAAGTCCCCGCAGCTGGAAAGTGACCAACCCATTGCCTATCTCTATAAGGTGTACTAATGCATTGAGGTAGTCAGAGGCAAGAATGAAACAGTCCCCTGTACTGTAGTTTCCCCATCGTCCTAGGAGCAAATCACCACAGAGACTGTGTTGTAGGGATCTGGTTAAATGTTCATAAAAGATGGAATTCAGATTGTTGTCATCTGATCCTATAAGAAGGAATTAAATATGTTACATTTTACCCTAAGTCTTCATTATATCAACAAAATATTAAAATATTAAAACTAATTTCTAGTTAGGATTGTATCTATATTTTCTTGACAAGGAAAATAATATTAACACCTTACAATTCCGATATAAAAATGAAACACAGGGTAATGAGAAAAGTTTCAGAAGTTAGAGTTAGAAGTCACATAACTTCTCTGAACTCTGACTCCCATCCATAAAATGTGGGAACTAGATTAGATGAAATCTAAGGATTTTCACCTCTTCAATAACCATGACCTGTTCTATCACTATTCAATGAACTCCAACTTATAATGAAAACCACATAAGAGAAATGAACAAGATAAAAGGAATTCAGGATTAGAACAAAAAGATACATTAAAAAAGAAAGTGGGTAAAGGAATACAAAATTTGAACAAACAAGACAGTCCAAAATGAATAGAAGCTGGTCAAAAAAAAAAAAAAACTATCCCCAAAACAACAAAAAACCCCTGAATATTGAGATGGCTAAAACTAGCTTAATAGAAATAAACTATATATATAGAAACAGCAGCAAAGAACCTATAAAATTTATTAGAGTCATTCTTTAAGAAAAAAAACTGGGATAAAACTAGCCATCTTTAGAAGTAACCCAACCAAAGCAAAATCTGTAAACAGGTACCCATAGTATAATACTGGAGGAAAGCAAAATACACAAAGCTTACTATTTTAAACTCAGCCTACAAAATAAAATAATGAAAAGGGTACTCCAGATACTAATTCAGTAAGATGGTCATATCTAATGCCCTGTCTGCTCATTTCAGAAGTGTACATTCAGGTCTTTTTGATATGCAGGATGGCATCATTAGCATCATGAGAATTCTAAGCCCCTTATACATGGACATATTAGAGCTGGGATGGTTGTTTACCAGAATGTGATAATGACAGGCATTATCAAGTAATTAGTCCTCTTTAATCCAATTTTATAATTATAAAACTATCTGATTATTGTTAATTTAGTTTCTCAAGTAGAACAGTTGAAGGAATCAGCATTTGAAGGAATCTGAGAGTCAAATGGATACAAATGCTCCAGTCTATCTGAGAGTAAGATTTATTTTAGTAAATTAATACATTGGAATTCTGGATAATTTCTTATGGTTGGATTAGTGAGATTCAGCCTCTGTGTGTCAGATTACTAACAGGAAGGCGGACAAAAGGATGTTTCCCAAATGATGAAACTGGAACCAGACTTCAGACAATGGTACCACCACCAAAGTGCCATCCACTGAAACTCTATCTCGAGGGCTATTTGGCTGCCCCACATGACATCTCTACATTCAACAAACTAAATGAAATTAAATGAACATTTACCTAAACATTCGGGGAAGCGGGAGAAGCAAATATATTAATACACCTGTTGGTCAGACTGCATACTCTTTGATACACTTGACCAGTTTTACTTTAACTGTTCTACTTTTTAAACTATGTAAGAACAATCTTTGAATGGCATTTTTTTTATTCCTATGAACATTCTTAAAATGCATTTTATAAAAGATGGGTTAGATACTTGAATTCACACTTTGCTAAAGCAGAACAAGAAGCAAAGGATATATGGTCTTTAAAAAATGACCACTCTGTCATCACAGAGGATTCCCAACAAGTCAGGAGTGAAATATATATATATAACAAATTCCTTAGACTTGCTTCTTTACTCACAGAGCTTTTACCTGGATTTCTATCAAGCTGGGAAGCCAATCTGGTATTTGAATGATCCACCCGCTTTGTGCTGAAGAAGGCAAAACAGAACATTTTTAGTAACCTTCAATTAAAAAGGAGAAAACTGTACAATATAAATAAAATAAAGATTATCACTTCATAAATATCTGAGAAAAACCTATGATTGGTATATATTGATAAAATTCCTCATGAGCGTACTTTTAGGGATAAGGTTTTTTACTTGCCCACCTCCATCATAAACATAGCAGTTTTTACCTAACTGGTGTTTCACTGAACAGGGTAGAAAGACATTAATGAGTTCAATTAATTCATTAATGAGTTCAAGCCCCCCCCCCAATTGATCAGGATGAAACATGTGTCCTACATGCAGTTCTTAGAAATACACAGTGCATGAAACATTCTGTGCAAGGAGAAGGTGCATTTATTAATGTCCAGTGGTACAGTGTTCTTAGAACAGTGGTTTCCCTGCTGCTGAAGTGTGTCTCTAGCGGTTGGGAGGGTGTATTACAGTCCTATAGGTAAATGGCAGGGGGGTTACAGTAGTCGGCAGGCTATTGTTATTGATGATTTTTATGGGTGGATTCCATAGGATGAGATGTTAGATCTTATGGATAGGGATCCTCATTAAGTGCCCATAAAGAGTGCTTTTTCTGAGTTTAATAGTAGATATATTTTTATTACTTCTAATAGCACTCCTTGTACTTGGTATTCCAATGAGCAGTGCATTACAATATAAATAATAAATGCAGTGCCTGCATTTTATCCGTGTGTTGATGAGGATTTGAGAATGGAAAATGTTGGCAATGTCTCCACAAATTGTACACTGGAACATCCAAATAATAAATTTTATTTTTTATTAAAAAAAAACAACAAAACAACAAAGAACACTGGTTTCCAAAAATATGGTCCACAGAAACCAAAGCAGGGGACTCAAGATCCTTTTAGGGAGTTTTCCAGATCAAAATGATTTTCATAATACTGAGCTGTTGTTCACTTTTTCACTGTGTAGATGATTGCATTAATGGTGCAAAAGTAATAGCGGGTAAGGCTACGGGCACTTCAACATGAATCAAGACAGTGGCACCAAACTGTATTTTTCACTGCCAAATATGCACAAGAAAAAATAAACAAAAATTCAAGCTTTGCTTTAAAATGTCTTTAATGAGGGGCGCCTGGGTGGCTCAGTCGGTTAAGCGTCTGCCTTCGGCTCAGGTCATGATCCCAGGGTCCTGGGATCGAGCCCCGCGTCAGGCTCCCTGCTCCGTGGGAAGTCTGCTTCTCCCTCTCCCACTCCCCCTGCTTGTGTTCCCTCTCTCGCTGTGTCTCTCTCTGTCAAATAAATAAATAAAATCTTTAAAAAA